TAATTCATCTTCACAGTTTGCTACCTAATCTTCTAAAAGCCCAAACTTTGACAGCTAACTGCATTAAACAAGAAGAGTGTTTCTGTGTGAAAGGACCAGGAGCAGGTGAACAAACTACAGCCCAAGTTTCATCATTTTGCTTGGAATACCTGGAACCATTTCTATGGTGATTTTCCACACTGAGGATGACAACACAGCCTACAGTAGGGACAGAGAAGTGAACCCAATTGCCAAGGGGACACAGGAAGCCACGTTGTAGGGACTACAGTAGGCTAAAGGCTAACACAGGATTTCATTGACATACCTGGAAAAGGGTGACTCAGCATAGCTAAGGTGACCAGAAAACTATTCAAAACAAGGAACGCATCAAGTGTCTTGTGAAACAATACTTATATGTGACAAAAAGACTAATTTAAGACAACAACAGTGAAATTTACTTCCTGCAGCTAAGATATACAAATTTTTTTTTTTTTTTAAGTATGGAACATTGCTAATTAGTGACACTAGAGTTGCACAGAAGAATCAGGGACACTTTGAGATTGTTCTCTGGAACCTCAGCTGGCCTTGTGTTAGCTCATCCAGCTGTGGTCCGGAGCCTAAACTCTGGTACCCTAGATGACCATCTATCTAGTCTAGAAATTTCCACTGGTAACTTACAGCCAGTGGTGCATATGTGTGTGTCTCTATCCCTCTGCAGATGGGTATCCAACCAGTACATCATTCACAGAGGTTAAAATCTGTTTCCTTGATAACTACCTATTTTCCCATGTAGCGAAACATTGACACTTATTTCCAGTTTTGCTCCTAAAATTTTCTGGAAGCAATAAAAATGAATAGTAAGGAGAATGTGTCATGAGGGACACAACAAGTGGTGGCCGGGTCTTACTGGGCAGTTAACACAGGGAAGAGAAGCCTTACGATTTCAACTGGAGCAATGCTTCGCACCAGCTGCTGGAGGAGGGTGGCTTCACAGTATGGAAATTTCCTGATGCTTTCTCTGATGATCTTTTCCTGGTACACTGGGAAGCCATCAGATGCCCTGCCTTTTAACAAGCTGAAAGACATTTTACAAACAGTTCAAGTGGAGTCATTAAAGCAATTCCCTCCTAGAAAGCCCCCAAAGCTTTCAGTAGTTTCCTGGTCAAATTGTCAGTGTCTCCTCAAATCTCAGTCTAGAGTGTTATTTGGACTGAATAGCAGGCCTGACAACATTTCTAAGATCTGACTATGGCAAGCAAAAGTGACACTTGCCTCAAAGGGCTCAGGCGGGGCAGTTACTAAGACCTAGTCAGTCAGCAGTCTGCAGGAAGAATGGAAACTCTCAGCAAGCCACACCCTCATGAATCAGTTCCTTTTCTCAGTAAAGCCACACTTCAGTTAGATTCCTATGGTCAGAGGGCAAAGGTCACGCTTAGCCCTGCCAGGTGACGTGATAGATACAGGAAGTGCCAGGGCAGCAGCCTATGTAACAATACACTTAATCTCATCACTTGGACCGTTTCCTAACTGTGTGGTCTTATGAATGTCATTTACCATCTGTAAAGATTCCTCAAGAGTAAATCAATAGTAACGGCAACAAAATAGCCATAATTCTGTCTGACAAAACTCTGCCTGAAGCCTGGCGTTGGTGGCACTAGCTTTTAATCCCAGCACTCCAGAGGCAAAGGCAGGTGGATCTCTGTGAGTTCGAGGCCAGCCTGGTCTCAAAGAGAGTTCTAGGACAAGTCTCCAAACCTTCAGAGAAACCCTGTCTCGAAAAAGCAAAAAAGAAAAAAGAAAAGAAAAAAAGAAAAAGAAAGAAAAACTCTGCCTAAATATCACCCCGTGTTCCTGGGAGACTAAATGTCACTCCAACAGTGTCTGCTGCTGCTAAAATGTCAGTTTTTACACATGTCACCAGGCTTCATATATAAGAAGCCATGTTGAGCATTTTGCACATGGCACGGTAGAAGCAGTACCTTTTGATCAGGGTATCCAGTTTATTCTCTCCTTCTTTGAGGAAGTTAATGCATTTCTGAAAGATGCAGCTGATGTAGTGCATTTTCATAGCCAGCACTTCATTCATGTCTCTCTGCTTCATGCACTTCTCACAGATCAAATCCATCACCTTGTAGCATTTACTGAGAGCGGCTGCTTCTGCCAGCAGAGGGTTCTCATTCACAAGCATCACAATCTAGAAGAAATGCCACTGAACACTGAAATCCCACGAAAGATGTCTCCATGTACAGAGAGGCTGTCAGTAAGGCTGAGGCCAAGACTGCCCAGGGTCTTCTCAGAATCATAGTTACCGCACAACTCAAATCAGGAGGCAAATTGCTACTACTCTATGTCATAAAGTGAATACTGATATTAAAATGAAAATGTGGTCTGTCATCTAACCTAGCATGCCTGGTGTGTCTGAAAAGAACTTTATAAATGATAACAGTGTACCTGCTTGGCCGCTCATTACACACAGGACAGTATCACGAGCAAGTAATGACTTAGTTAACTTCACTAAACTCAATAATCTTGAGCTGGCTCTTTGGAACCTATTCCCCATGCTGGGATGCCACGCCCAGCCTTGATGCAGTGGGAGGAGCTTGGTCCGGCCTCAACTTGATAGGCCATGCTTTCTGGACTCCCATGGGAGGCCTGCCCCTTTCTGAACAGAGGAGTAGATGGGGGAGGGGGAGGTAGAGGAGAGTTGGGGGAGAGAATGGGAGGAGAGGGGGGAAACTGTGGTTGGTATGCAAAATAAATGAAGATTTTAATAATAAAAAATTTCTCACATGGAAACCACAACTCTCCCCTTCCCTTCTTCCTTTCTCACCCCCCCTTCCCTTTGGATTTTGAGACAGGTTTCATGTATTCCAGAATGACCTTGAATGTGGTATGTAAGGATGACCCTGAATTCCTGACCCTCCTGCCTCCACAGCCCAAGTGCTGGGTCACAGATGTGCGCCGCCATGCTCAGTTTATGACATGCTGAGAACTGAACCCTGGGCTTCCTGAATGCTAAGCACAGCTTCTATTATTAAGCTACATCCCCAGTCCTCCACTAATTACAAGAAAATCATACCTCTACAGAAAGAAGTCTAGAAATAATATGTGTTTTTACTTCCCAATTAACTATATTTCTTTGTGGAAATTTTCCTTAAGATGAATCCAATCCTCTGCAATAATGCAGTTATGTTAAATGGAAACCAGAAATAGCTTTGAAAGGGAAAGAGTAGAAAGTTATACCATCTTATACATTATGGGTTTTACATTTCCTATTTATATACTAATTAAGCTCAAATTTAATGTAATCAGCAGTGTTTTAATGAGCTTTGCTACAGTGTATATTACTTGAAGTTAGTCTGCAGGGGATTGATCACCTAAAGATGGCTGACAGCCCAATAAGAATGAAGACGTGTGTGATATGTCGAGGGTGTGCACAGTCAGTAGGTGCTAGCCTATATGTTTCAGGTCAACCCCTGTGCCAGGGAGGAGACTCTGTGGATTACATTCACTTCAGACATGAAGAAAACTCATCAGTGAATTGACATGATAGCCATGTGTAGCTTACCTGCAAATGTAACAGAGAGTTAAGGTCAATGAGAAATCACTTTTGACACTAGTCAACTTATCCATAACCAAATATTTTCTTAAGATCCAGCACATTAAAATAAATTGCCAGACTTCATGAAGTGAATAAAACTGAATCCTTATTAGCAAATCGGCTGAATATTCTCCCTACCAAAACAAACATAAAAAGTTAATCTGTGGGGCAGGAGAGATGGATGTCTCAGTGGTTAAGAACACTGGCTGCTCTTCCAGCACACAAGTGGGGCAAATACACAGAGGGATACATATATACACATTTAAAAAAAAATTAAAAACTAATTTGTAGAAAAAAATGATTTGTGATGTACAGGACTCATTAATTCCACCTCCCTGGGTAGTGCAGAGTTACTGAAACATGTGCATGCTGCCCACAAAGGAATATTCACATTAGCAAAGGAAACTTTTCATTCTGTACTTTATCCCTTTCGGCATGCAATCAAGAGTCTTATTTCTGCAAGGATGGCTAGCAAAGAATATGCTCCTGCAGCAGCATTTTTAATTCTTTTCAACCTTGCCCACTAGTGTTTAAATTGGTAAGTCAACAGTCTTGGGCTTGAAAAGCACCTGAACAATGAAAGGATGGACTGTGACATGTGCCTGCCTGCTCTTCCCTCGAAGGCCCTTCTCAGTGCTATCGTGATTTTTCCTGAGATTTTGTTTTTCTCCTAGATAACCATTATTGCCTGGGCATCAGCACAACTCCCCAAGTCCTCGTGAGAACAAACACATTGCTATAGCAGTCATGTAACCTAGATGCAAGAGCAGCCATTTTAGGCACAAAGGCAAGGAAAAGGTGAGCTGAGGATAGGGAGAAGTTCTGTGCTTTTTTTTTTTTTTTTTTTAAAGCTTTGGCTTTGGACAGGGTTGCTTTCCTCTTTTATCACCCTCTGAAGACGCATGCCAGCTTGGAAATGGGTGAAACAGGAAAAGTAGGCCATCATAACAAAAGCAATGGGGCGCCTTTTGTCTCCAAACTATGGACTGGAGGCAGAGGCTCAGGTGAATGGACTGCTTATTCCTATGGAGAGCAAGGCTGCTCTGGAGAAACAAGCACAGTGCCAAGTCTCTTTAAAAACTCACTCGTGTCCACCACCTCAGATCATATGCTTTTATATTGCCTGCCAAAGTAGGGACAGACTCTAGTTTACTCATAATGTATACATCTGTAAAAATAACTGAAAAAAAGACAATTTGAAGACATTTAGCAGAAACAGTGGAGATCATGCAAATATCAGAAATGATCCCCAAACCTCCATGCAATCTGAAGGCAAAGAAATAGGTATGAAAGTCAGAGATAGAAAGGACGTGGGTATAAAGTCAGAGAGATAGAAAGGACGTGGGTATGAAAGTGACAGAGAAAACAGGGGACTTCACTCCAAAGTGGAACAGGCTGTGATGACCTGAGCCTTGCAGGACCACCTACATTCTCTGTATAAAACCTGGTCCCCTAGCCCAACTGCTCTGCCTAAAAGCTCACTGAAAGGAGTTTCTCATACTCGTGGGTGTGGTCGAGGACTGCTGAACTGCCCTCAAGAAAACAGAGGTGCATACAGGTGAACTCTAAGCCCCCGTCTTCACATTTCTTATGTAGCTTCTAATCTCTAAAAAAACCAGAAATGGCTAGTGGTGGTGGCAGCACACACCTTTAATCCCAGGGCTCAGGAGCCAGAAGCAGGCAGATCTCTCTGAGTCTGAGGCTAGCCTGGTCTACAGAATTTCAGAACAGCCAAGGCTGTTCTGTGTACAGAGAAATCCTGTCTTGAAAACGAAACAAAAAAAGAACTGAAGATGCAAAAGATGGCAGGAAAAACAGCTTAGAGCGGCTCTTGAAACCCACACTGAACAACTTGACTCTGGTGCCTAAGCTGACGTGTTTGATTCTACTGAGAGCATGCTTAAAAGCATCACACAGCCACTTGCGCTGTAAAGGTGCTCATGTTTAATGGAATGCTTAAACTTGTGAGCATTCCCACAAGGGTAAGTACTGCCATACAAGTCAATGGTGTGCACCTAGATGCATGTTACCAGGCCTGCTATACTCAGCATGGGCTAAGGGCACAATGCAGTTTCTTCTCAAGAACTTCTCTCATTCAAGGGAGCCACCTCATTTCCTCTGTCTAGGAAGTTGTTCTTTCCCTCCAGGACAGGCCCAGGCCAATGACATACTAAAGAACACTAAACGATTCCTATTCTTTCAGGGCTGGAGCCAGACTGTCTGCAGTGATGCCTGGGGATAAGGTCAAGTTGAGTGAGGCTAACACTTCTCTTCCTGGCCTTTTGCCCTGCTTCTCTTGGTTTCCCTCACCAGCTCCTGACGTTCACTGAACACACTCAGGCAGACATGGGAACTTGCTGCAAATCCTTCAACTGCAGGACTTTGCCTAGACAATTACGACTCCATGGAATGAGAACAGTTTAGACACTGAGGAATGCTGATCTGAAAGGCAGATACAATAGGCCCAGGCTACCTTGACAGGGTGGAGATTCGTTGTGGTAATGATTTTGTGCAGTGGTCCTGCCAACTTTGAAGGCAGTTTTGGCTCTTTATCCAATCCCTGGGGTTTAGTGTAATAATCCAGTCTCTCTCGAGGGAAGAAATTGTTGATTATAGCCACACAATCATGCTGACCTTTAAACAGAAAAACAGAAAAGTTGTTATTTTATCATTAAACACAAGAGTCTGCCTTGTTTTTATGACATGACTGCTTGCTTTTGGAGTAAACATGCAAAATGTTTTTATTCTTTGGGAAAACAGTAGAAAAGGAGAGGAAAACATTTCAGAGAACATTTGCAAGCAGTTAAAGCAGAGAGATAGACTACCAAAAAAAAAAAAAAAAGTACTCAACTTAAAAACAATCCTAAAATTATTTTATAAAAACTATGATTCAAATATCTCTTCTTCCACCCTGACACCAATGATACTCATGTTTCCCCCAATGACACACAGGTACATTTACATGTAATTTAAATATAGTCTATGGAAAGTATCTCTGTTATAATCATTAATGTTATTAAGTCATCCATGAACTCCAAGAACTGGAGAGAAGCTTAGCCTCTTTGTGAAATGAAGTATAGAAAGCTTTGGCTCCCATGAGCTTGGAATCAACACTACAGCCCCTCACATTCTTGAGCCATTTCTTGGGTTAAATAGAGTTCTACTACTGCACAGTCTCCCCAAGAAAGCCGGTGGCCTGACATTGCTCCTGCTGTCCTCCAACCACAGCTCCCTCTAGAGCCGGGAAGTGGCCATTCTGGGCAGGCAGGCAGAACAGGTAGGGCATATGACAGAGAAGGAGCGGCTAAGGGATCGCAGGCAGCCCGTCCTGGAGAGAGTGGTCCACGCTGGTTTGCCTGCCTGGCTCCTATTTCTGTGGACAAAGTCCTGCGCGTGCCAGTGATCCCGCCAGATGCTGTCTGCAAGGAAATGGCACTACTGGCCATCTGGCCCCCACACCTGTGCTGGCAGGCGCTGTACCTGTCACTCGGCATTCATATAATCTGAATAGAATGACTCCTGCTAGGGTCTAGGTGGCTGTAGACCGTGGACACACAGGCACAGACACTGAAGCCCTTTGTGCCTCTGGTCCACAACCCCGGAGTCTTTACCTGGGTGCCCAAGAAATGCTAGGCGAAGAACAGCGACTATGCAGTGCCCCTAGCAGAAGGCTTCTGGTGTCTGAGCTCCGCTGCCACCACAGCCACAGAGCTCAAACAACCACCCAAGGGGCTTTCAAGAGCCACGGGGAAGCTCAAATTTTTAAAAATTAATAAGCAAATCCAAAAGAGCAAATCCTATTTGTTTCTGTGAACTAAATTTGTAGTAGCAAATCACTCAGAGAGAAATTACTCAGCGAGGCATGGGGGGCGCTCACAATACCCAGGAAATCCAACACTGGAAAGAATAAAGTCCAGAGTGAAAAACAGAAGGATACATTTAAAAGTAAGGGATAGAAGAAAACATCCCTGGATTTGAAAAAAGAATTCAGTACTGACAACAGTATCATTTGGTGTGTACGTTACCCTTTCTCTCCTTCATTTTCCCTTCCTTGATGTCTTCTTTCTGCCTATTAGAAATTTCTATTTATTTTTTAATTTTTAATTTTTTTGGTTTTTCGTGACAGGGTTTCTCTGTGTAGCTTTGAAGCCTATCCTGGCACTCGCTCTGTAGACCAGGCTGGCCTTGAACTCACATGTATCTGCCGCCCGCCCCCGCCTCCCCAGTGCTGGGATTAAAGGCGTGTGCCACCAACGCCCAGCCTAGAAGTTTCTATTTATATCTTGAGAAGTCAACCACATATTAAAAATCTGAAATCAGCCAAGGTGCTATGCTTAGAAAATGGTATCTACTTCCAGAACCTTCCACCAGAAAATCAGCATTCAATTGAGCAAATCTCCTAATGCAAGCAGGTTATAAGCATCACAGCATCAAAGTCCATACAGGTGACTGTGTGCCCTGACAGTGACACATAGAGAAACAAAAAGGCTGAGGGTAACTGCACTGTTTCTTTACATGTAACTGTATCATGGCTCCATAACACAGGGATTCTTAAACCTGAAACAATGTTCAAATATCTTAGCAAGTTGCTGCCTCTGCAGCTGTTCTTCACTGACATCTGGACCTAGATTCTTCAGTCCTTCAACATAGATGCGTCAACAGTGGATTTCTAAGACCTCCTCTCGCCTTTGGCACCAAATTGGAGCTGCTGAGGCACTCAGTCCTGTAGACTAATCAACTCCTATGTTCTTAGCCTTTCCAGTATGAAGACAGACATGGTTGGACAACCCAAACCATACTGTGTAAGCCAATGTAATAAATCTCCCTTTAATATATATTCCTTCTATTGCTTCTGTTTCTTTAGAGAATCTGGATTAGTTCACTGTAGAACTGTGGGTGGTCTTGAACTCACAGCAGCCTTACTGTTTCTGATAGTTAACTATTAGGATTGTGTACATGAGCCACCATGCGTAAAAGAATTCTTAGGAAGAAACATTTTTCTTTACGGAAGTATTTAACTTTTGGAAGAGTAGATTTTTTTTCTTATTCACAAATTATTTGCTGTATTATTTTTAATAATCGTTTGGCCTTTTTGTTGGTGTCTCCAAATAAATGTTCTCAATTGGAATAACAACAACAAAAAAAATCTCAGCAAAAGTATAAAGCCAGATACTCCAAGATTGGGACATAAAGGGTCAGAAGAAAGTAACTATTTTTTTCCAGCAGTCCCTGAAATGTTAATTTCCATTATAACTTGGCTGGTCACCTAAGAGACACCTCTGGGTGTGTCAGTGAGGGAGGTTTAAATGAAGACCAGGACCTACTCTTCTTCTATGACTGGAACTATCCCAGGATGGGAGTCCCAGAGTAAATAACAAGAGAAAAACAGGGTGCTGAATCCCAAACTCCATTGCTTTTTGGATGGCAAAGTGTGACCGCCATCCCCACACTCCTACCGCCATGAGGAGCCATATCTCCTCAAACCATGAGCCACAACGCCCCCCCCTCCATAAATTGTTTTGGTATTTTGTCATAGGAAGGAAAAAAGTGACTAATACAGCCAGCCCCTATCTGGACGGTTGGGAAAGCCAGCTGGCAACTGTACATATCGTACAGAAAATATCTCCTACCTGACAACGACCCTGTCAGAGAACAAGTTGAACCTAACTCACTTGCTGATAACTTATTAGACTGGCATATGTATAAAGTTTATCTTTGTAAATTTAACTTTTCTTGATTGTTTAAAACTCTGTACAAAATTATAAGAAGGTCTTAACTCTTTATTTTGACTTAAGAATTCTGATTAGATACAACTACCAAGTATATTACCGAGAAGAAATACTATGGGGGAGGGGGAGACAATCGTTACTGACTGAGCTGAACTGTCTCCCACGGGCTCATTTGTTTCAACACTTGATTGTCAGCTTGGGGAGGCTGTGGAACCTCTGGGACAGATAGTCCTAGGGCTGAGCCTTGGGCCTCTGGCCTGGGCGTGTTCCAATCTGCCGTCTGCTTCCTGGCTGGCACCACGGAACAAGCAGTAGCTTGCTCTCCTGCCGCCAAGCTGCAGAGTCAGCCCTTTGCCACAATTCCCCACCAGGGTGTACTCTAATCCCTGAATGGAAATGAAACTGAATTCTCATTTTTGAAACTAGAATTTAGAAAACTGCAGCATAACTTTGAAATGAACCCGAGAGAAAAGAACTGTGAAGTAACTGTCAAGGAACAAGCAAAAGAAAAAGTATATTTCAGAAAGATCATTTAGATGTGGTAAGTTTCAAGAGGTAGGCAATCTACACAACTCATCTGAGAAGTTCTGCAACAAAAACCTAAATGAAAACAGAGATCGCAGAAAGCAACCAAGAGAGAACAGAGAAAGCATCTGGACAGCTAACCTGAATGGGGGAGAGTGAGCAAGAAACCATGACATCAACTGGATGCTAAGAGGTGACATATTACCAAGGGTGTTCTAGAGCAATGGGCACAAGACGTACTAGACTGTTCCAGAAAGGTTCACAGCAAGGAGCTACAGACACAGAGATTAAGACAGTAGTGCAGAAGGCAGAGAGCAAGGGCTTAGAGGTGTGATAAGCCAAATACAAAAAGAAGAGACATGGGGGTGGGGGTTGCTATATGGGCAAGCAGTGCCTTGAGCACAGAGGACATCGTGTAACTGGAAAAGGCATAACTTTCACCAAGATAGTCACATTAAATAAACACACAAACACAAGCACACACAAATGCAAATGCAAAAAGGCAAAAGAGGAACTAGAAGATTGCCCAGTGGGTAAAAGTGCTTGTCACACAAGGAGCCGAAACTGAGTGCCCAGAAACCACACAGAAACCTGGCTTGCCATGAAAGCCATTGTGATCCCAGGAATAAATAAAAAAAAAAAAAAAAAACTTTCATCTGCAATGAGCTGGAAGTAGCCGAATCTAGGGAGTAAGAATTCCTATAATATGGATATTAGCTGGAAAGTACTTACTGATAAGCTGTATGAAAAATGGCTGATACAGTAGTCAGGTGTGGTGGGTTGGTACACGGTGGGCTCAAATACAATGTATCTACAAGACAGTCTAGTGGGAAGTACAAAAAAACATTGTTTGGCTGGGTGTGGTGATGCACCCCATTAATCCCAGCACTTGAGAGTTCAGTTCAGCTTCCAGAAGGAGGCTCACAACTATCCATAACTCCAGTTCCAGATCTGCCACCATCTTCTGATCAGGCATGCACATGATGCATGCACATATATGTGGGAAAAACACACATATTAATATACACATTAAAAGAAAAAAGCAAAATTCTAAAGAAGATTTGGGAGAACGTTGTTGTAACTTATGGTTAAGACAACTTCTAAATAAATGAAAGTCTTGGAAGCAATTTAAAAAAGACTTTAAAAATGTTTTCTATAGCAAAGCTCCTTAAAATCAAAAGTGAGATTGGCATACAATTTTTTAATCACATTTGGTAGAGAAAGAGCTGACAGCCTATAATACAAATAATTCGTTTCTAAGCAGTAAGAAAAAGACAACTTCCCCATCATAAAGGGAGGGGGGGGTGGCAAAGGTCTATAAATGCAAATGACTGCAAAGTAGAGAACTCAGTACCAGTCTCAACTATACAGCAAGCTCAA